ACTGAACTACAACTGAACTACAACTGAACTAGTACTGAACTAGAACTGAACTAGAACTGAACTAGAACTGAACTAGAACTGAACTAGAACTGAACTAGAACTGAACTGAACTAGAACAGAACTGAACTAGAACAGAACTAGAACAGAACTAGTACTGAACTAGAACTGAACTAGAACAGAACTAGAACAGAACTAGAACAGAACTAGAACACAACTAGAACACAACTAGAACACAACTAGAACACAAATAGAACAGAACTAGAACTGAAGTAGAACAGAACTAGAACAGAACTAGAACAGAACTAGAACAGAACTAGAACAGAACTAGAACAGAACTAGAACAGAACTAGAACAGAACTAGAACAGAACTAGAACTGAACTAGAACAGAACTAGAACAGAACAGAACTAGAACAGAACTAGAACAGAACTAGAACAGAACTAGAACAGAACTAGAACAGAACTAGAACAGAACTAGAACAGAACTAGAACAGAACTAGAACAGAACTAGAACAGAACTAGAACAGAACTAGAACAGAACTAGAACAGAACTAGAACAGAACTAGAACAGAACTAGAACAGAACTAGAACAGAACTAGAACAGAACTAGAACAGAACTAGAACAGAACTAGAACAGAACTAGAACAGAACTAGAACAGAACTAGAACAGAACTAGAACAGAACTAGAACAGAACTAGAACAGAACTAGAACAGAACTAGAACAGAACTAGAACAGAACTAGAACACAACTAGAACAGAATAGAACAAACTAGAACAGAACTAGAACAGAACTAAAACAGAACTAGAACAGAACTAGAACAGAACTAGAACAGAACTAGAACAGAACTAGAACAGAACTAGAACAGAACTAGAACAGAACTAGAACAGAACTAGAACAGAACTAGAACAGAACTAGAACAGAACTAGAACAGAACGAACAGAACTAGAACAGAACTAGAACAGAACTAGAACAGAACTAGAACAGAACTAGAACAGAACTAGAACAGAACTAGAACTGAACTAGAACAAACTAGAACTGAACTAAAACAGAACTAGAACTGAACTAGAACTGAAAAAACTAACTGAACTAGAAAACTAGAACTGAACTAGAACTGAACTAGAACTGAACTAGAACTGAACTAGAACTGAACTAGAACTGAACTAGAACTGAACTAGAACTGAACTAGAACTGAACTAGAACTGAACTAGAACTGAACTAGAACTGCTAGAACTGAACTAGAACTGAACTAGAAACCTACTAGAACTGAACTAGAACTGAACTAGAACTGAACTAGAACTGAACTAGAACTACTGAACTAGAACTGAACTAGAACTGAACTAGAACTGAACTGAACTAACTAGAACTGAAACTAAGAACTGAACTAGAAGTGAACTAGAACTGAACTAGAACTGAACTAGAACTGAACTAGAACTGAACTAGAACTGAACTAGAACTGAACTAGAACTGAACTAGAACTGAACTAGAAACTGAACTAGAACTGAACTAGAACTGAACTAGAACTGACTAGAACTGAACTAGAAACTGAACTAGAACTGAACTAGAACTGAACTAGAACTGAACTAGAACTGAACTAGAACTGAACTAGAACTGAACTAGACTGAACTAGAACTGAATACTAGAACTGAACTAGAACTGAACTAGAACTGATACTAGAACTGAACTAGAACTGAACTAGAACTGAACTAGAACTAACTAGAACTGAACTAGAACTGAACTAGAACTGAACTAGAAACTGAACTAGAACTGAACTAGAACTGAACTAGAACTGAACTAGAACTGAACTAGAACTGAACTAGAACTGAACTAGCAACTGAACTAGAACTGAACTAGAACTGAACTAGAACTGAACTAGAACTGAACTAGAACTTAACTAGAACTGAACTAGAACTTAACTAGAACTGAACTAGAACTGAACTAGAAACTGGACTAGAACTGAACTAGAAACTGAACTGAATAGAACTGAAGTCTAAACTAAAAAAATCAAATTATTTTTCATGAATTTTTTTTTATCAAAATATTGTTGTATGTTTCTATTAAATTTAGGTTCGGATTTTCTGGGTTATTTTTTGTATTTTTACGGTTTTTTACTACTTGTTTGTTTTTTAATTTTAGTTTAATTTCTTGTTGTTATTTTTCTCAGTGTATATTTATAAATAATCATGTAAAAATTACATGGGAGTTTTTGTTTTAATTTCAGTTTAATGTTCTGGTTTTATAAATATATTTGTTTGTAATATATATAGGTATTGTAAGTATATAATTCTATATAGTATATATATAGTAATATACATATAAATAGTAACTAATTGGTTTTTTGTTGTTTATTTAAATTGGTATTATTATATTAAACTACTATTGTCTGTTTACTATCTTTTAGGTTTTGCTGTTTTGTTTAAATGTTATCAATTATTTTTATAATTTTAATAATATTTTATTAACTTATTTTGTTGTTTTAAGCACAGAGTAAAGAAAAAACTTTAGTTGTGGCAATTAAACTTGCTAACGGGCCTATTAGCTTCCTTTCTCTCTGTGTTTAAACCAGTTTTACTCAAAGAGAGTGCTGAATTAAAATACTGTCTCTTGCAATGACAAATTGAAAAAGCTCTCTATGCTTAGATGAGTTTCTATTAACTTGCTTGTTAGTGGAGAAGTTTCACACTCAGGAAAGAACGGAACAGAACTAGAACTAGAACAGAACTAGAACAGAACTAGAACAGAACTAGAACAGAACTAGAACTAGAACAGAACTAGAACAGAACTAGAACAGAACTAGAACAGAACTAGAACAGAACTAGAACAGAACTAGAACAGAACTAGAACAGAACCAGAACAGAACTAGAACAGAACTAGAACAGAACTAGAACAGAACTAGAACAGAACTAGAACAGAACTAAAACAGAACTAAAACAGAACTAGAACAGAACTAGAACAGAACTAGAACAGAACTAGAACAGAACTAGAACAGAAGTAGAACAGAACTAGAACAGAACTAGAACAGAACTAGAACAGAACTAGAACAGAACTAGTACAGAACTAGAACAGAACTAGAACAGAACTAGAACAGAACTAGAACAGAACTAAAACAGAACTAAAACTGAAACTAGAACAGAACTAGAACAGAACTAGAACAGAACTAGAACAGAACTAGAATAGAACAGAACTAGAACAGAACTAGAACAGAACTAGAACAGAACTAGAACAGAACTAGAACAGAACTAGAACAGAACTAGAACAGAACTAGAACAGAACTAGAACAGAACTAGAACAGAACTAGAACAGAACTAGAACAGAACTAGAACAGAACTAGAACAGAACTAGAACAGAACTAGAACAGAACTAGAACAGAACTAGAACAGAACTAGAACAGAACTAGAACAGAACTAGAACAGAACTAGAACAGAACTAGAACAGAACTAGAACAGAACTAGAACAGAACTAGAACAGAACTAGAACAGAACTAGAACAGAACTAGAACAGAACTAGAACAGAACTAGAACAGAACTAGAACAGAACTAGAACAGAACTAGAACAGAACTAGAACAGAACTAGAACAGAACTAGAACAGAACTAGAACAGAACTAGAACAGAACTAGAACAGAACTAGAACAGAACTAGATCAGAACTAGAACAAAACTAGAACAGAACTAGAACTGAACTAGAACTGAACTAGAACTGAACTAGAACTGAACTAGAACTGAACTAGAACAGAACTAGAACAGAACTAGAACAGAACTAGAACAGAACTAGAACAGAACTAGAACAGAACTAGAACAGAACTAGAACAGAACTAGAACAGAACTAGAACAGAACTAGAACAGAACTAGAACAGAACTAGAACAGAACTAGAACGGAACTAGAACTGAACTAGAACTGAACTAGAACAGAACTAGAACTGAATTAGAAATGAACTAGAACTGAACTAGAGCTAAACTGGAACTGATCTAGAACTAAGCCAATTTATTTCTAACTTTGATAAAACGGAATTCATCAGATAGAGACAATATTGTTTATCTTTTTAAAAAAAATTTAATTCTCTTTTAAAATTTGTTTTACTCCCTTAAAGTTTTTTTTTAATTAATTTTTAATTTATTGCAGTTTTAGTAACCTTTTGTTCTTTTCTTTTAATTAATTTTGTTTAGCATTCAGTAATTTTAAGCTAGATTTTTATAACATATTTTTTTTTAAACCATTTTCTTCCTTTAAGTTTTTGTCTAGGACTTTTCAAGTTGTTAGCTAGTTTTTGTGTTTTAATTAATTCTTATAAAGGAACCATTTGTTTAAAATCTAAAGAGCATTTAATTATCATTTGATTTTCCTTTAATTTATTTATATTAATTTAAAACTAGTTGTTGTTTTTTTTATTTTATTTTAAATATAAAGCACCAATATAATAAATTAAGAATTTTTATTTTTTTTAGGTTTAAGTTAAACAATGGCCGCCGGAGTTTTGTATTTTTTCTTTTTTAAATTCTAAATTCCTAAAGTAATTATTATTTTTGAAGTTTTGTCCATATTTTTTTTTTATAATATATATAAAAAACCTATAATAATTGTATAATAATCATAATAATATAAACGGGCATATCTTAAATATAATGTCTAGCATTTTTTTCTTTGTTGGTTGTTAATAATAAATTGCAGTTCTAGTTTTTTTTCAAAATTTCTTTTTCGCCATTTTCTTGGTTCTTTAAATTGTTGTACATTATTTCTTTATTAATTAGTTGTTTAAGTTTATTTAATTAATAGTTTTTATTTTAATTGAGCCTTAAGGTTTTATTATGTTTTTACATTTTCCAAAGCCTCTGGTTTCTGGCCAAGGCTTTTATTGCTTCTCCTCTGGGTTTAAATAAAACCCCTTTCCTTCTAATTTTATATTATAAATTAAATGAATAAATAATAATAATATTTTGTTTAATTTTATAAATCTAATTTAATTATAATAATGTATAGTTTTAATATATTGTTATAATTTTCTTACAGTTTTTTTTTTTTTTGAGTTAAAGTTTTCAGTTTTAACTTTAACCATTTTGCAGTTCTAGTAGGGCCTATAATAAGTTTGTTGCATTTATAATCATGTAACGTAATCACGACTGGTGACATATTCATCACTATAGCGGCCAGCTGAAAAATAAAACATAAAATTAATTTCTAGTTCTGTTCTAGTTCTGTTCTAGTTCTGTTCTAGTTCTGTTCTAGTTCTGTTCTAGTTCTGTTAGTTCTGTTCTAGTTCTGTTCTAGTTCTGTTCTAGTTCTGTTCTAGTTCTGTTCTAGTTCTGTTCTAGTTCTGTTCTAGTTCTGTTCTAGTTCTGTTCTAGTTCTGTTCTAGTTCTGTTCTAGTTCTGTTCTAGTTCTGTTCTAGTTCTGTTCTAGTTCTGTTCTAGTTCTGTTCTAGTTCTGTTCTAGTTCTGTTCTAGTTCTGTTCTAGTTCTGTTCTAGCTTTCTAGTTCTGTTCTAGTTCTGTTCTAGTTCTGTTCTAGTTCTGTTCTAGTTCTGTTCTAGTTCTGTTCTAGTTCTGTTCTAGTTCTGTTCTAGTTCTGTTCTAGTTCTGTTCTAGTTCTGTTCTAGTTCTTTTCTAGTTCTGTTCTTGTTTTGTTCTAGTTCTGTTCTTGTTTTGTTCTAGTTCTGTTCTAGTTATATTCTAGTACTGTTTTAGTTCTATTCTAATTCTGCTCTAGATCTGCTCTAGTTCTACTCTAGTTCTATTCTAGCTCCGTTCTGGTGCTAACACCAGTTCTAGTTTTGCTCTAGTTCTCTTCTTATTCTAGTACCAGTTCTAGTTCGCTTCTAGTTTTAGTCAAATCATTCGAGAGCTACAAACTACAAGGTACTCACAATCTTCCATGAGTATAACAGGGGTAGCCTCAGGATTTGTGCTCGACAAGGTATGGCCCATCATATTAAAATCATCTTCCATAGAAAGAAATGAGGGATTCCAACGTGAACGGGGTGTTGTGCGATGTGAGGAAACGCCCGATGACGAGGAATATAAACTTAAGTTAGTGGGACTTATGACACCCGACATGGTGGTATAACCCAGCAGCTGGAAACAGAAATGGAGAATTATATTCTGAGATTTTTTTCAAATTAATTCCAACTTACCGGTGTTGTTTGTGTATGGAAATGATTAAAGTACTCGCGTCCATTTGTTTGCGGATACGGTTGAGCCGATATGCGTGAGAGCGCCGAAGTCGGAGTCGAAACCGCTATGGCCGAAGAGGACGATGTGGGTGAGGTCTTACAGCGGGCCACATCAATGATATGATGTTGTGGACTTTGTGTGGGTGCAGGAGGAGGTGAGGCGGAGGATGTTGAGGCCACTACCAAATCCGAAGAGTTGGTGCTACTGCCTACGGTAATGGTATTATTGCCTGAATCTTGTTGGGAACTGGAGGCTGTTGTATTGGTTAGTTTGGAGGACATGGAACTCAAGCCAGTGCTAGTACTGTGATCTATGGTGGTGTGTTGCTGCTGCTGGTGATGGGCGGCATGCTGTTGATGATGATGATGGTGGTGATGAGCATGATGTTGTTGCATTTGTTGATGGCTGTGATGATGATGACGAGGTGAATCTCCAGCCGAGCTAACACTAGTCAAGGGAGGCGGTGTTATGCTGGCGGAAGTGGGTGGAGAAGCCACCATAGTCAAATCACCAGTAGAACGTATTATGGCCACAGGACGCGCCATTGGCGGCAGAGGAGGCGGAGGCAACATGGTACTGTATTGTTGATAATGAGCAGCAGCTGCTGCAGCTGATACGGCTGACAATTTGGGGCTACGTCCAACAGCAGCGGCGGCGGCAGCATGTTGCAATTGAAAATGGGAAGACGTTTGATGATGATGAGCATGTAAATCAGCTTCCGAAGGATTAACACCAGAAGCATCTTGACAAACATAGGCCACAAATTCCGACATATCCTGACCATGATTAATAACTTCTGTGGCGTATTTGGGAGTGGAAGAAGTTTGAGAGTGATGCAAGTGCTGCTGATGATGATGTTGCTGTTGATGTTGCTGCTGTTGTTGCTGTTGGTGTTGTTGCTGTTGTTGATGCTGCTGTTGTTGTTGTTGTTGCTGCTGCTGGTGTTGAGCTTCTTCGGAATTGTCAGAGGGATTGGCAGAAGGACTGTTATGTTGTGGATAATACAAAGCCGGACTGACGGAATTTGGCACCAATGTAGAACTCACATTGTGTTGCATTAACACTGAAAGAAAATTAGGCAAATATAATCTTTATTTTGGAAATTCATGCATTAATACCCACCTTCTCCTGGTCTCATTTGTCCCATGCTTAACAACACCCTATTGCTGGTAGGAGTGTATCTTTGAAGAGCCACTTCCTCATTGTTGGAGCCGCCATTATTGCTGCCATTGTCTTCATTTTGCCTCAATATCACAGAAAAACTGCTGGGTCCGCCCACCGAATCCTGCGGCGAACCATTAGGATCAGGTTTACAAGATACAGCAGCGGCAGCACGCAATAAAGAAGAGTTAGAAAGATGCATACTGCTGCGGGGATCCACAAAATCAACTGTTAAAATAAAATCAACATTAAGACTGAATTCATCAATGATTTAAGAACATTAGTACTCACTGCTATAGCCCGAGGGCAATACCATAGAAGCACTAACCGAGGATCTGCCATCTCCGCCTGAAACCATACCACCTCCTCCGCTCGAAGAACTCAAACTATTCACTCCTCCCACCACCGAACCGAGAGGAGCTGCTGATGCAGTCATTTGATATGTTTGGCATTCATAGGCCGCTGTTGGATGTTCCAGTTTAATGGAACTGGCCTGTATGAGATCATTGGTGGTTTCTTCCAGTATGGAAGCTAAAATGAAAGAATTTTTTGGTTCTTCATTACCACAATGAACCATTCAAGGGCACTGACACATGCTGGCTTCAATTTTAAATTACCTTTTGATAACTTCCACAGTTCCTTGGAAGAGAATACCCCAGTGGCCAAGATAATATCATTGCAAACCACACCATTGTAGGGATTATGACTGTAGCCAGCAAATGGTGTGCTCTCGACATCTGATGCCGCATGTTGTGGGTAGTTGGGCTTAATGTTAGTTTTGGCAAAAAAGGAATATTTCATCTCTTGCTCATCATACATACCTTTCGCTTTACGCTCTTCATCGGCGTGTTTCTTATTGTCGGCTGGATTATTGTTGTTGTTATTGTTATGCTCATTACTATACAGCATGAGTGATGGCGTGGTAGGCGTACCCGGATGTGGTGATGAGGGCGTAGGACTACTTAGCGGATCGTGTGTGTTAATGAAATTAGCCAAATATAGGTCTAGTTCTCGTACCGAAACATTAATGTGATAAGGATTAACACACAAGGCTGGATGTATACATTCGGGTGACTTTTCCAAACGCTCACCATCGGTACTCTCCAAAGGTATGGCTTTGAATAGTATGACCATAACTAAATCCAAACGCCATACTTTGTCCGCTTGACGTAGGCAATCAATGCGCCGCATTTTGCCTTTTTGATCGGGATTGGAGAGAACACATATCGATTTACGTTTACCCGTAATCGATTGTACGAAATCTTCGCGACATTCTTGCGTTATGTCTTTGCGTAGTTTGCCCAAGAGGCGAGAGGCCCATTTTTGTTTAACTTCTGCTTTTTCGTTCTGAAATAAAGGGGAATTACGTTGAAGATTATTAAGAGTAACCTTATAAAAGTGTAGTTATAGTTCAGTATACGGTCTGGACTATAGTCTAGCCTAAACTCTAGTCTAAAGTCTAGTGTAAAGTCTAGTCCAAAATCTAGTCCGCATTGTAGTCTACTATATAGTAAAGTTTATAGTCTAGTCTAAAGTCTATTCTATACTATAGTCTAAAGCATGCGTTTATAGTCTAGTCTATAGTCTAGTCTATAATCTAGTCTATAGTCTAGTCCATAGTCCAATCTATAGTGTAGTCTAGACTAGTCTATAGTCTAGTCTATAGTCAAATATACAGTCTATAGTTTAGTCTATAGTCTAGTCTATAGTCTAGTCTATAGTCTAGTCTATAGTCTAGTCTAGTCTATAGTCTAGTCTATAGTCTAGTCTATAGTCTAGTCTATAGTCTAGTCTATAGTCTAGTCTATAGTCTAGTCTATAGTCTAGTCTATAGTCTAGTCTATAGTCTAGTCTATAGTCTAGTCTATAGTCTAGTCTATACTCTAGTCTATATTGTAGTCTATAGTCTAGTCTATAGTATAGTCTAGCCTATAGTTTAGTCTAGTCTATAGTCTAGTCTAAAGTCTTGTCTATAGCCGAGTTTGTAGTCGAGTCTATAGTCTAGTCTATAGTCTAGCCTATAGTCTAGTCTATAGTCTAGTCTATAGTCCAGTCTATAGTCTAGTCTATAGTCTAGTCTATAGTCTAGTCTATAGTCTAGTCTATAGTCTAGTATAGTCTAGTCTATAGTCTAGTCTATAGTCTAGTCTATAGTCTAGTCTATAGTCTAGTCTATAGTCTAGTCTATAGTCTAGTCTATAGTCTAGTCTATAGTCTAGTCTATAGTCTAGTCTATAGTCTAGTCTATAGTCTAGTCTATAGTCTAGTCTATAGTCTAGTCTATAGTCTAGTCTATAGTCTAGTCTATAGTCTAGTCTATAGTCTAGTCTATAGTCTAGTCTATAGTCTAGTCTATAGTCTAGTCTATAGTCTAGTCTATAGTCTAGTCTATAGTCTAGTCTATAGTCTAGTCTATAGTCTAGTCTATAGTCTAGTCTATAGTCTAGTCTATAGTCTAGTCTATAGTCTAGTCTATAGTCTAGTCTATAGTCTAGTCTATAGTCTAGTCTATAGTCTAGTCTATAGTCTAGTCTATAGTCTAGTCTATAATCTAGTCTATAGTCTAGTCTATAGTCTAGTCTATAGTCTAGTCTATAGTCTAGTCTATAGTCTAGTCTATAGTCTAGTCTATAGTCTAGTCTATAGTCTAGTCTATAGTCTAGTCTATAGTCTAGTCTATAGTCTAGTCTATAGTCTAGTCTATAGTCTAGTCTATAGTCTAGTCTATAGTCTATAGTCTAGTCTATAGTCTAGTCTATAGTCTATAGTCTAGTCTAAAGTCTAGTCTATAGTCTAATCTATAGTCTAGTCTATAGTCTAGTCTATAGTCTAGTCTATAGTCTAGTCTATAGTCTAGTCTATAGTCTAGTCTATAGTCTAGTCTAGTCTAAAGTCTAGTCTATAGTCTAGTCTATAGTCTAGTCTATAGTCTAGTCTATAGTCTAGTCTATAGTCTAGTCTATAGTCTAGTCTATAGTCTAGTCTAGTCTATAGTCTAGTCTATAGTCTAGTCTATAGTCTAGTCTATAGTCTAGTCTATAGTCTAGTCTATAGTCTAGTCTATAGTCTAGTCTATAGTCTAGTCTATAGTCTAGCCTATAGTCTAGTCTATAGTCTAGTCTGTAGTCTTGTCTATAGTCTAGTCTATAGTCAAGTCCATAGTCTAGTCTATAGTCTAGTCTATAGTCTAGTCTATAGTCTAGTCTATATTCTAGTCTATAGTCTAGTCTATAGTCTAGTCTATAGTCTAGTCTATAGTCTAGTCTATAGTCTAGTCTATAGTCTAGTCTATAGTCTAGTCTATAGTCTAGTCTATAGTCTAGTCTATAGTCTAGTCTATAGTCTAGTCTATAGTCTAGTCTATAGTCTAGTCTATAGTCTAGTCTATAGTCTAGTCTATTGTCTAGTCTATAGTCTAGTCTAGTCTGTCTAGTCTGTAGTCTAGTCTATAGTCTAGTCTATAGTCTAGTCTATAGTCTAGTCTATAGTCTAGTCTATAGTCTAGTCTATAGCCTAGTCTATAGCCTAGTCTATAGTCTAGTCTATTGTGTAGTGTATAGTCTAGTCTATAGTGTAGTCTATTGTGTAGTGTATAGTCTAGTCGATAGTCTATAGTGTAGTCTATAGTGTAGTCTATAGTCTAGTCTATAGTCTAGTCTATAGTCTAGTCTATAGTCTAGTCTATAGTCTAGTCTATAGTCTAGTCTATAGTCTAGTCGATAGTCTAGTCTATAGTCTAGTCTATAGTCTAGCCTATAGTCTAGTCTATGGTTTAGTCTATAGTCATGTCTACAGTCTTGTCTGGTTGTTCTCTCTTACTCACCTGTAACTCATCTTTACAATGTCTCTCCTCCTCCAGTGACATGCGTTTTCTCATGCTTTTTGTAATATTTTCGCTTGGCTGCTTGTAAATTAAACCAGGAATACGAAAATGATTTGACATACGGTAGTAGGGCTTCAATGAACGGATGAAACTCATCCTAATCAAATACACACAAACGCACATTTAACACACATATGACAACAATTACAAGAGAGAGAGATATAAAGAGAGTGTAAAAGAAAGAAAGAGAAATATTTATAAAAAAAATTAAAAACTAAATACAAAAAGTGATTTTTTAAAAAATATTACAGCCATGAGAGCAGTAGTATTAGTAGTAGTTTAAAAAAGAGAAACACTAAATATTATATAGACACATATAAATTCAAAAATAAATGCAGTTTTGATTGGTTTTCAATACTTTTTTTTGGTTTAAGTCTCTACTAAAATATTTGAGTTTTTTGTATAAGTAATATTTTTTGTTAGTTTTAATATTGATGATGAGTTTTACAAACATTTAAACATTTAGATTAAATACATTTAATTAAATAATTGAGAAAAGAAATATACAGAGATTAAATTGTTTTATTAAAAAAAATGGCGCGTACAACATTCAGTTTAAAAAAGAAGAGAGAAATAAATCAAAATCAAAAGAGAAATGGTGATATAAAATGAGTAAGAGAAAATAAAAGAGAGTTTTGAAATTAAAAAGAGTAATTTAAGGAAATTGATAATGTTAGGTTAGGTTGATAGGAGGATGTGTACTACATCAAATCCGAAGAAATACACCTAGGCCGCTATCGGGCCTGTTGTGCGCTCAAAGTGATAATGTAATTATGGGACATTATAGCAAAATATATCTCACAGATCAAGGAATCCCGGGTTTTAATATTGAAAATCAGTTTTAAAGATCTATTTCTTTTGTTTTCTGAAATCTACATAAATTTTCATAAATTTCTGCTTTTAAACTATAATTTTCCAATTCTACCAAGTTTCTCTTTAAGTTCTAATAAATTTTTGCAAAGAAATCAAACTTCAAACGTCCATTGACCCAAACATTTTGTATGCACAAGACAATACGGTGTATATTTATTTAATATAGAAATATTTTTGTAATGTTTCTATTTTTTTTATATTCGCTTTGATACAATATGTTGCTTTTGCGTAGTCACGTCTTTTTTAAAATGCACGCATTTTGCATACAAATTAGCTGTGATTAGTACTAAAAAATTCTTTTGGTAGGTCAGTTTAAAAACAAATAAAATTGTAATTCACTTTAGAGCTGTTTATATTTTCTGTCTAATTTGTTTTTTCTAACATTATGGTTTTTTTTATATCTTCGACTAAAGTAGGTGAATTAGTGAATAATAAAATAGAAGACACTATTGCGAAAATAAGAAAGAAGGAATTCCATCAAGAAATGCTGTTTAAGGCAAGAAAGAAGTCTGATTATGTATAGACTGGGTTATAGACCCGGTAAAAAGTCTGATGTGTAAGATGATCTATATAATGTATTTTAAATTTTTATATGAATTAGTTCACAGACTGATCTATAGACTAGATAACAGACTGACAATAGACTGATCAACATGCTGATCTATGATCTATAAATAGACTTATTTTAAGACTTGTCTATAGATTGACCTTAAGACTAATCTACACACTTTATAGACTGATCTTTAGAACGATCTACATATTGCTCTATAGATTTGTCTATTGCCTGATCTATAGACTGATCTATAGGCTGATTTACACACTGATCTATACATTTACTTATGGACTGATTTATAGACTAGTCAATACTTTGATCTATAGACTGTTCTATAGACTGACATATAGACCGATTAATAGATCGATCTACAGACTTGTCTATAGAATAATCTTTAGACTTGTCTCTAGACTAATTTTTAGACTATTCTGTAGTTTAATCAATAGACTTGTCTGTAGACTAATCTGTAGATTTGCAAAGAGACTGTTTTATAGATTGATATATATATTAGTCTATACACTGATCTATAGATTGGTCTATAGATCTACAGACTGGTCTATAGACTGATCTACAAACTGGTATATAAGCTTATATATAGACTGATCTAAAGGCATGTATATAGAGTGTTCTTTAGTCCTCTATAGACTTGTCTATAGACTGACCTATACACTTGTCTATAAACTGATCTATAGACTTGTCTATAGACTGATCTATACACTTGTCTATAAACTGATCTATAGACTTGTCTATAGACTGATATATAGACTTGTCTATCGACTGATCTGAAGACTGGCCTATAGACTGATCTATGGACTTGTCTATAGACTGATCTGTAGACTTTTCTATAGACTGATCTATAGATTTGACTGTAGACTGTTATATAGACTTGTTTATAAACTGATCTATATATTTGTCTGTAGACTGAACTATAGACTTGTCTATAGATTGACATGTCCGCGGACTGATCTATAAACCTGTCTATAGGCAGATCTGTAGACTTTTCTATAGACAGATCTATAAACTTGTCTATAGACAAATCTATAGACTTGTCTATGGACCGATCTGTAGACGACTCTATAGACCGATCTATAGGCAAGACTTCAGACTGATCTTTAGACTTGTATATAGACTGATCTATACACTTGTCTATAGATTGATCGATAGACTTTTTTATAGACAGGTTTATAGTCTTGTCTATAGACTAATCTATGGTGTTGTCTGTACACCGAAATATAGACTGAACTATAGACTTGTCTATACACTGATCTATAAATATGTCTACAGACTTTTACATATACTGATCTATAGACTTGTCTATAGATTGATCTGTAGACTTGTCCGTGGACTGATCTACAAAACTATCTATAGGCAGATCTATAGACTTTTCTATACACAAATCGATAGACTTGTCTATAGATCGATCTATAGACGATTCTATAGACCGATCTGTAGGCTAGTCTACAGACTGATCTTTAGAATTGTCTATAGACTGATCGATAGACTTTTCTATAGACATATATATATAATCGTGCCTATAGACTGATCTATGCTGTTGTCTATAGACCGACTGGCCGATTTATAGAGTGTATAGAGATATAGAGACTGTTTTGTTTAGCGTTCTATAGACTTCTCTGTAGCCTATTATATGGATAAATATATAAGCTGATCTATACACTTGTCTATAAACTGATCTCCTGATTTGTCTAAAAACTGGACTATAGTTTTTAGACTTGTCTGAACTGGGGCAAAGCCTCTTCTATATTTTGGTTCTCGAAAACTTGTATACGTTAATGTTTTAAATGAAAAGATTTGAATAATACCTAAAACTTATGGGGAAAAGAACAAGTTGGTTTTAAAAATAAACTTTTAGAAAAAAAAATTATATAAAAAAACAAACACACATTTATATTAATGTAACACTTAAAAGAAACACTCAGTGGCAAATTATTTAAATTACTTTGATTTATATATAAAAAGGATCTCATTATATGCGAAATAAAATAATGATTTAAAATGGTATTTCCAGAAAAAAACAACAACATAAATTTCACAAATTTATTATGGGGTAATAAAATAGTTAAAAAAAAACTTTTAAAGAAAAACATAATAAAAAAGTTGCAAAGAAAAAAATGTTTTCCAACAAAACTGTGTCTACTCCATTCCATTTTATATGACCATTTCATACAAATACAACACAAAAAAAGTTTCAAAGGTGTAACGAGTATTACAAAAGGAAACGGATATTGAATGAAAACGAAATAAGACAAAAAAATGAAAACTTAACAAAAACAAAGTTAAACGAAAAATGACATAAACAGCTAGAGTAAGGAAAGTGTATGAAGGGAAAAACGGAAAGGACTAAAGGAAGAGTTATAATAGAGGCGACAGGCGGCCGAACAAAATTAAACAAAATTTTAAGGATTTGTTTTTAAATTAAAAATTTTTTATAATTTTTGAAAAAGGTGTTTTTTTTGACAACTGCAGCCTGTCGCTTCCATTGAAAATTCGCCTCTCTCACCATGTGAAATAATTGTAAAAAAGGGTCATAGTAAAACAAAACAAACATAAGGGGATTCCACACATACATACAGACATTTACATACATCAACAGAGTAGTAAAAGGATAAATCAAAACAGAAAAAACAACAACATGTTTGTAATAAGGACATTTTATATGACAGCGAGAGAGAGAGAGAGAGAGCGAATAGGAATGTAATCAAATGGTGAAAAGAAAGAGACAGAAAAAAAGGATGTGAAAAAAAGTTTACAAGTAATAAACAAAAATAAACACGACAATATGTAATTACACCAAAAACAAACTTTGTTAAAAAAAACAACACACACACAGACAGAGAGAGAGAGAGTTAGTTGTTTAGTAACTTTTGTAATTACTTAGTTAACGAGAGAGATTAGAGAGTTAAACACAGAGTTTTATGATTTATTTTTGTTTGTCTGTTTATTGTTGGTATTATTTTTTCTGAGAAGAGGGGGGCTTTTCGCCTTTAATTTGCTAAATGGAAAAAAGCTGTGATCCTTTTCATTCTCAATAATTAAACTCTTTTATTTTTTAAAGGGGTTCGTTGCTGTTTAAACAAATTAGTTAAATGAGCTTAGTTTTGATGCTGTTAGTTTCATTATTTTAGCTGTTTTTGGTTTTCATTTTGTTTTAAGAATTCAAATTATATTTTTTTTGGTTCATTTAATTTATTCATTTAATTGCTTAAAAACTGATACCACGTATAAATTCAGCACCTGTCCTGAGGATGATGTTTGTAGATAAGAATTAACGTCCGTCTCGATCATACAGCTACGTAAAGAATCAGGTATAAACATGCCTTGTTAAAGGCGTTATTTGTTTTTTTTTTTTTGGTTTTCTTTTTAGTTTAAACTTTTTCAGTATGTTCTTTTATATTAGTAGTTGTTGTTACAGCTTTTCTTTGTTTTTTTTTTTTATAAAAAAATTTTTCCTTTTTTTAATAATTTTAAGCTTTGGAAGACTTTGGGTGTGTAAAGTTTTTGAGCTTTTTTTTGGTAGAGTAGTATGCAAGTTTATTTTGTTGTTGGAGTAAGTAGTCTGTAAGAAAATAAAGAGAAAACTGTTAGTTCTTATGTACAAAAAAAATAACTTAAAAAAAAGCTTCAATATATGTTTAATCAAAAGCTTAAGACAACAGTAATCACAAAGCATTTGACTAAAAGCTTTCAAAAAAAAGCTTCCAAAAGCTTTTAATAAAAAGCTTTAAAACTCTTTTGATAAAAAGCTTCAAAAAGCTTTTGATAAAAATCTCCAAAAAAATTTTGATAAAAAGCTTCAAAAAGCTTTTGATAAAAAGCTCCAAAACGCTTTTGACAAAAAGCTTCAAAAAGCTTTTAATAAAAAGCTTCAAAAAGCTTTTGATAAAAAGCTTCATAATGCTTTTGATAATAAGCCTTAAAATATATTTTTCTAAACTTGAATTAACAAATCTTAAAGCTTTTAAACAAACTTAAAAACAAACTTAAATAAATTTAAATAACAAACTTAAAACTTTTTATAAGCTTTTCTTAAAAAACGTTTATAAACCTTAAACCAAAATCTCTTATAATCTTTAACATAAAAAGCCTAAAAAAATTTTACGTTAAAAACTAAAGTAATCTTTAGATAAAAAAAACTTAAGCAAACTTTTGACAAAGAGCTTTAATAAGTTTCAGTTAAAGGGCTTCGATATGCTTCAGACAAAAGACCTTATCAGTTTTTAAAATAACTCTTAAATACACTTTTAAAATGGCTAAATAAGCTTCAAAAGCAATAGTCCAATCTATAGTCTAGTCTATAGTATAATGTATTGTGTTGTCTATAGTCTAGAGTATATTCTTCTTTATCGTGCAGTTTACAGTCTAGTCTATAGTCTAGTTTGTAGTCTAAACTGTAGTGTAGTCTATAGTGGAGTCTATAGTCTAGTCTATAGTATAATCTATAGTCTAGTCTATAGTCCAATCTATAGTCCAGTCTAGTCTATAGTCTAGTCTATAGCCTAGACTATAGCCTAGTCAATAGTCTAATCTATAGTCTAGTCTGTAGTATAGTCTATAGTCTAGTCTATAGTCTAGTCTATAGTCTAGTCTATAGTCTCGTCTATAGTCTAGTCTATAGTCTAGTCTATAGTCTAGTCTATAGTCTAGTCTATAGTCTAGTCTATAGTCTAGTCTATAGTCTAGTCTATAGTCTAGTCTAGTCTATAGTCTAGTCTATAGTCTAGTCTACAGTCTAGTCTATTGTCGAGTCTATTGTCGAGTCTATAGTATAGTCTATAGTATAGTCTACAGTCTAGTCTATAGTCTAGTCTATAGTCTAGTCTATAGTCTAGTCTATAGTCTAGCCTATAGTCTAGTCTATTGTCTAGTCTATAGTCTAGTCTATAGTCTAATCTATAGTCTAGCCTATAGTCTAGTCTATAGTCTAGTCTATAGTCTAGTCTATAGTCTAGTCTATTGTCTAGTCTATAGTCTAGTCTATAGTCTAGTCTATAGTCTAGTCTATAGTCTAGTCTATAGTCTAGTCTATAGTCTAGTCTATAGTCTAGTCTATAGTATAGTCTATAGTCTAGTCTATAGTCTAGTCTATAGTATAGTCTATAGTCTAGTCTATAGTCTAGCCTATCGTCTAGTCTGTAGTCGAGTCTATAGTATAGTCTAGTCTATAGTCTAGTCTATCGTATAGTCTATAGTCGAGTCTGTAGTCTAGTCTATGGTCTAAGCTATAGTCTAGTCTATAGTCTATTCTATAGTCTAGTCTATAGTCTAGTCTATAGTCTAGTCTATTGTCTAGTCTATAGTCTAGTCTATAGTCTAGTCTATAGTCTAGTCTATAGTCTAGTCTATAGTCTAGTCTATAGTCTAGTCTATAGTCTAGTCTATAGTCTAGTCTATAGTCTAGTCTATAGTCTAGTCTATAGTCTAGTCTATAGTCTAGTCTGTAGTCTAGTCTATAGTCTAGTCTATAGTCTAGTCTATAGTCTAGTCTATAGTATAGTCTATAGTCTAGTCTATAGTCTAGTCTATAGTCTAGTCTATAGTCTAGTCTATAGTCTAGTTATAGTCTAGTCTATAGTCTAGTCTATAGTCTAGTCTATAGTCTAGTCTATAGTCTAGTCTATAGTCTATAGTCTAGTCTATAGTCTAGTCTATAGTCTAGTCTATAGTCTAGTCTATAGTCTAGTCTATAGTCTAGTCTATAGTCTAGTCTATAGTCTAGTCTATAGTCCTAGTCTATAGTCTAGTCTATAGTCTAGTCTATAGTCTAGTCTATAGTCCAGTCTATAGTCTAGTCTATAGTCTAGTCTATAGTCTAGTCTATAGTCTAGTCTATAGTCTAGTCTATAGTCTAGTCTATAGTCTATTCTATAGTCTAGTCTATAGTCTAGTCTATAGTCTAGTCTATAGTCTAGTCTATAGTCTAGTCTATAGTCTAGTCCTATAGTCTAGTCTATAGTCTAGTCTATAGTCTAGTCTATAGTCTAGTCTATAGTCCTAGTCTATAGTCTAGTCCTATAGTCTAGTCTATAGTCTAGTCCTATAGTCTAGTCTATAGTCTAGTCTATAGTCTAGTCTATAGTCTAGTTCTATAGTCTAGTATATAGTCTAGTCTATAGTCTAGTATATAGTCTAGTATATAGTCTAGTCTATAGTCTAGTCTATAGTCTGGTCTATAGTCTAGTCTATAGTCTAGTCTAGAGTATGGTCCAGTATATAGTCTAGTCTAAAGTCTAGTCTAAAGTCTAGTCTACAGTCTAGTCTATAGTCTAGTCTATAGTCTAGTCTATAGTCTAGTCTATAGTCTAGTCTATAGTCTAGTCTATAGTCTAGTCTATAGTCTAGTCTATAGTCTATAGTCTAGTCTATAGTCTAGTCTATAGTCTAGTCTATAGTCTAGTCTATAGTCTAGTCTATAGTCTAGTCTATAGTCTAGTCTATAGTCTAGTCTATAGTCTAGTCTATAGTCTAGTCTATAGTTTAGTCTATAGTCTAGTCCATAGTCTAGTCTATAGTCTAGTCTATAGTTTAGTCTATAGTCTAGTCTATAGTCTAGTCTATAGTCTAGTCTATAGTCTAGTCTATAAGTCTAGTCTATAGTCTAGTCTATAGTCTAGTCTATACTAGTCTAGTCTAGTCTATAGTCTAGTCTATAGTCTAGTCTATAGTCTAGTCTATAGTCTAGTCTATAGTCTAGTCTATAGTCTAGTCTATAGTCTAGTCTAAAGTCTACTTTATAGTCTAGTCTATAGTCGAGTCTATAGTCTAGACTATAGAGTCTAGTCTATAGTCTAGTCTATGGTCTAGTCTATAGTCTAGTCTATAGTCTAGTCTATAGTCTAGTCTATAGTCGAGTCTATAGTCTAGTCTATAGTCTAGTTTATAGTCTAGTCTATAGTCTAGTCTATAGTCTAGTCTATTGTCGAGTCTATAGTCTAGCCTATAGTCTAGCCTATAGTCTAGTCTATAGTCTAGTCTATAGTCTAGTCTATAGTCTAGTCTATAGTCTAGTCTATTGTCTAGTCTATCGTCTAGTCTAGTCTATAGTCGAGTCTATAGTCTAGTTTATAGTCTAGTCTATAGTCGAGTCTATAGTCTATTCTATAGTCTAGTCTATAGTCTAGTCTATAGTCTAGCCTATAGTCTAGTCTATAGTTCAGTCTATAGTCTAGTTTGTAGTCTAGTCTATAGTTTAGTCTATAGTCTAGTCTATAGTCTAGTCTATAGTCTAGTCTATAGTCTAGTCTATAGTCTAGTCTATAGTCTAGTCTATAGTCTAGTCTATAGTCTAGTCTATAGTCTAGTCTATAGTCTAGTCTATAGTCTAGTCTATAGTCTAATCTATAGTCTAGTCTATAGTCTAGTCTATAGTCTAGTCTATAGTCTAGTCTATAGTCTAGTCTATAGTCTAGTCTATAGTCTAGTATATAGTCTAGTCTATAGTCTAGCCTATAGTCTAGCCTATAGTCTAGTCTATAGTCTAGTCTATAGTCTAGTCTATAGTCTAGTCTATAGTCTAGTCTATAGTCTAGTCTATAGTCTAGTCTATAGTCTAGTCTATAGTCTAGTCTATAGTCTAGTCTATAGTCTAGTCTATAGTCTAGTCTATAGTCTAGTCTATAGCCTAGTCTATAGTCTAGTCTATAGTCTAGTCTATAGTCTAGTCTATAGTCTAGTCTATAGCCTAGTCTATAGTCTAGTCTATAGTCTAGTCTATAGTCTAGTCTATAGTCTAGTCTATAGTAGTCTAGTAGTCTAGTCTATCGTCTAGTCTATAGTCGAGTCTATTGTCTAGTCTATCGTCTAGTCTATAGTCGGGTCTATAGTCTAGTCTATAGTCTAGTCTATAGTCTTGTTTATAGTCTAGTCTATAGTCTAGTCTATAGTCTAGTCTATAGTCTAGTCTATAGTCTAGTCTATAGTCTAGTCTATTGTCTAGTCTATAGTCTAGTCTATAGTCTAGTCTATAGTCTAGTCTATAGTCTAGTTTACAGTCTATAGTCTATAGTGTTATCATGTATTTTAAATATGTAATCTTGTCTTTTAAATATTAGTATTTTATGAATTTTAAGTTGAGATAAATATTCATTGTGCTTACCTCAAATATTCATAAATTTGTTGCTGAAACCAAACAAGTATCGAAAGAATCTGCAGCAGAAGGAAATGAAAACAGGATATAGAGAGTGAGAGGGTGTAGAGTCCTTAATATTTCAGATTTGATAAGAAAATAACTGGAAATTTGTTGCTGGTTGTTTTTGTTTTTCAAGCTCGTCGTCTCATCATCAATGTTTGTTTATTATTGTTAAAGTTGTTGTTAATAGAAGTTGTTTTTGTTGTTGCTATAGTAGTAGTAATAGTAGTTGTTGCTGATGATGTTTGTTTATTTGCTGGCAACATCATTTTTATCATCAACGCCATTTATTTCTTTTATATAAGGAAGAGTGTGAGAGAGAGAGAGTAAGTGTGTGGGTGAGTGTATTGTGAGAGTTTCTTTTTGTTCTGTTTTTATTATAGGTTTTATATGGTAATTTATTGTTGTTGTTGGTATTATTACGATTTTTTTATGTTTGGTTTTGGTTTGTATGTGTTTGTTGTCGTTTCAGCCGTGCATTTTATAGGAACTCAACGAATATCGAACATGTTTGTTGCTGGTTTTTTGTTGTTGTTGCTATTATAATTTATTATTGTCTTTTTTTACTTAAATTTTAAGATCTTTTTAAATTTGATTATTTTGTGCATTTTTTTGTTTTTCCAAAATTTTCGTCGTCTCAAAATTTTTTTAAACAAAAACATAAATAATAAATTTAAACATTTTGTAGAATACGTAGAAAGTGGTGTTAAAATTATTGTTGTTGGAAAATTATTTAAATTTGAAACGAAAAATTAAATATAAAAGTTTTTTGTTTTTGTGTTTTTTTACGAAAATTTTAACATTTTATTTAGTTGTTTGCTGGTTTCAAATTTTTAAAGTTCTTTTTTAATAAACTTAACGTAGTCGAGGAGTCACTGAAGGAGAGAGAAAGAAATTTTATATAAAATTTATGTATAGGAGCAACAAATATCCCTCATACAAAATACCCTATACCACCAAAAATTTTTAATGTTGTCCCTAAATCTTAATTTTGTTGTAAAGAACAATTTAGTTCTAAATTGTTTTATTGTACAAACTAGAACTATATGAACTAGACTAGACTACTAGACTTCTATGGACTAAACTGTAAACTTAACTATAGACAATGCCATAGTCACACCATAGACCTAAGACGAATAGACTAGACCTATAAACTAGACTATATCCTAGACTATAGACTAGACAGACTATAAGACCTAATAGAACTAAGAACTATGACTAGCTATAGACTAGACTATAGACTAGACTATAGACGAGACATAGACCTAGACTATAGACTAAGACTATAGACTAGACGATAGACTAGACCTATAGACTAGACTATACATGACTAGACTAACTATGACTAGACTATAGACTACGACTAGAGACTAGACTATAGACTAGACTATAAGCTAGACCTATAGACTAGACTATAGACTAGAACTATTAGACTATACTAATGACTAATGACTATAGACTATAGCTATAGACTAGACTATAGACTAGACTATAGACTAGACATAAGACTAGACTATAGACTAGACTATAAGACTAGACTATAGACTAGACTATAGAATAAGACTATATGACTAGACTATAGACTAGACTATAGACTAGACTATAGACTAGACTATAGACTAGACTATAGACTAGACTATAGACTAGACTATAGACTAGACTATAGACTAGACTATAGACTAGACTATAGACTAGACTATAGACTAGACTATAAACTAGACTATAGACTAGACTATAGACTAGACTATAGACTAGACTATAGACTAGACTATAGACTAGACTATAGACTAGACTATAGACTAGACTATAGACTAGACTATAGACTAGACTATAGACTAGACTATAGACTAGACTATAGACTAGACTATAGACTAGACTATAAACTAGACTATAGCCTAGACTATAGACTAGACTAGACTATAGACTAGACTATAGACTAGACTATAGACTAGACTATAGACTAGACTATAGACTAGACTATAGACTAGACTATAGACTAGACTATAGACTAGACTATAGACTAGACTATAGACTAGACTATAGACTAGACTATAGACTAGACTATAGACTAGACTATAGACTAGACTATAGACTAGACTATAGACTAGACTATAGACTAGACTATAGACTATAGACTAGACTATAGACTAGACTATAGACTAGACTATAGACTAGACTATAGACTAGACTATAGACTTGACTATAGATTAGACTATAGACTAGACTATAGACTAGACTATAGACTAGACTATAGACTAGACTATAGACTAGACCATAAACTAGACCATAAACTAGACTATAGACTAGACTATAAACTAGACTATAGACTAGACTATAGACTAGACTATAGACTAGACTATAGACTAGACTATAGACTAGACTATAGACTAGACTATAGACTAGACTATAGACTAGACTTTAGATTAGACTATAGACTAGACTATAGACTAGACTATTAGACTAGACTTTAGATTAGACTATAGACTAGACTATAGACTAGACTATAGACTAGACTATAGACTAGACTATAGACTAGACTATAGACTAGACTATAGACTAGACTTTAGATTAGACTACTAGACTATAGACTAGACTATAGACTAGACTATAGACTAGACTATAGACTAGACTATAGACTAGACTATAGACTAGACTATATACTAGACTATATACTAGACTATAGACTAGACTATAGACTAGACTATAGACTAGACTATAGACTAGACTATAGACTAGACTATAGACTAGAATATAGACTAGACTAGACTATAGACTAGACTATAGACTAGACTATAGACTAGACTATAGACTAGACTATAGACTAGACTATAGACTAGACTATAGACTAGACTATAGACTAGACTATAGACTAGACTATAGACTAGACTATAGACTATTCTATAGACTACTCTATAGACTACTCTATAGATTAGACTATAGACTAGACTATAGGCTATACTATAGACTAGACTATAGACTACTCTAATAGACTAGGAGACTAGACTATAGACTAGACTATAGACTAGACTATAGACTAGACTATAGACTAGACTATAGACTAGACTATAGACTAGACTATAGACTAGACTAGACTAGACTAGACTAGACTAGACTAGACTATAGACTAGACTATAGACTAGACTAGACTAGACTATAGACCAGACTATAGACTAGACTATAGACTAGACTATAGATTAGACTATAGATTTGACTATAGACTAGACTATAGACTAGACCATAGATTAGACTATAGATTAGACCATAGACTAGTCTATAGACTAGACTATAGACTACACTGTAGACTGCACTGTAGACTACACTATACCACAGACTAGACTATAGCCTAGACTATAGACTATATCTTAGACTAGACGAAAGGCTAGATTAGATCATAGACTATACTATAAACTAGACCATAGACTAGACTAGACTATAGGCTAGAGTAAAGACTTGACTATAGGCTAGACTATACTATAGACTGTGTTATAGACTTGACTTAAGACTAGACTGTAGGCTGGACTATAGACTAGACTATATACTAAACTATAGAGTAGACTACAGACTACACTATTAACTAGACTATAGGCTAGACTATAGATTAGACTATATTGTATACTAGTCTATACACTAGACTATTAACAGTCTAGACTAAACTATAGACTTGACTATAGAGTAGACTATAGACTTAAGATTAAACTATAGAGTAGACTATATACTACACTAGATTGTAGACTAGTCTATAGACTAGAATATAAACTGGGTTATAGTCTAGTCTATACCATAAGCTTGACTATAGACTAGGTTATAGACTATACTATGAACTAGGCTATAGACAGGCTATGAATCTAGTAGATTATAATATAAAATATATTATTTGATCTACTTTCAAATTTACTTTACAATTCGCTAAAAGTTCCTAAACTGTTCCCTTTAGGTCTTCCAAGGTGAGTTTTAGAAGAATGTTTTATGACCTTTTTTATATTTTTAACTTTAGTTGTCTGTCCTTTTATACAACCTGCCACGGTTACACCTCATTTTTTAACACCGACATGTCTGACACCGACTGACTGACTCTATATGACAAACAACATGTGCAGTTGAGTGCTTTTTTACGTTTAGCTTCCAAAGTGGTGTAGGGTGGTAAGAGGGATTTTTTATTTTTTGTGATACACTTTGAATATTAATTTAAATAATGGAAGGGGGAAAGTCTGGGTGAAATTTTTTTTAGTGCAATATATATATTTTTTGTTATTTTTTTTTTTAATGTAGAGATATTTTTTTGGATGACGTTTTTATAATAATTTAAGTTTTAAGGGATTGTTTTAATAAAATTTGTTTTTCTGGAAACAAATCTATCGATTTATGGCGTATTATTGTGGCCAGACACATTAATCACTTTTTAAAGGGAGATTTTCAGAAATTTTCTTTTTTATATTTTTAAACTTTTTAAACAATTTTTCATTATTTTTAAGAAATTTTTTAAGATTTCATTTCTTTCTTTTTTAATTTTAAACTTTTTTAATAATTTTATTTTTATAAAAAAATTTTTGTTACACAATTTTCTTTGAATTTTCTTTTTCGGGCTCGTTTTTTGTACTTTTTTGTTATTTATTTTTTTTTTTTTTCTTTTTATAATCCCCGTGTGTGTGTTTTTTTATTTATTATTATATTTTCATTTCATTTGCCTTTTTGTAGAATAGAACACAGATTTTCTTTTTTAAATTTTTTAGCGATTTTTTTTTTTTTTTTTTTTTTTGTTTTTTTGGTTTTTTCGTTTCCTCTACATTATATAAAAATAACTTAAGTCTACAACTGCTGCCTGCTGGTGTGACTGTGTAAGGGGACGACGACGATGTTGTTGTCTAAATATGAGACCATTTTTTTCACTTTTGTTTTAAACGAGACATTTTTCTATATGTAAGAATTTTTTCACACACCAGAATTCCTTTAGAAATCTTTTTAAAATTTTCTTTTTTACTCTTTAAAATGAATTTTTCATATTGAAATTTATTTTTCTACCTTAAACTTTTATTTTGGAAAATGAAAAACACTCATTTGTTTATTAAAATTGTTTAATTTTTTCACTTTTTTTATATAAAAAAAACCAAAAATAAAAGTTTAATATTTTTTGTTCGTTTCGGTCTTGGCCAGACGAGACGTTTTTCCTCACTCACCATTTAATGTGTTATGCCTAGTGTTTTTGCTCAAGTTTTCTTTTAGTCGTTTGTTCTATTCGTTTCATTTTCGACAAAAATGTTTGCATGTGTATGTGTGCTAGTGGCTAAAATGGAAAATACCACCATGTTGCGTTTTTCGTATTTGAAAGAAAACCGTTTAAAATGGCTTTACTAAGCGGAATTTTGTTGAAAAAAAGTGAAAACCTTTAGCGTTTTTTTGTAAAATATAGTTGGTAGATTAGTGGTAGTTAGTTAGTTAGTTAGTTAGTAGTAGTAGTTAGTAGTTAGTTAGTTAGTGTTAGTTAGTTAGTAGTTAGTTAGTTAGTTAGTAGTAGTTAGTTAGTTAGTTAGTAGTTAGTTAGTTAGTAGTTAGTTAGTTAGTTAGTTAGTTAGTTAGTTAGTTAGTTAGTTAGTTAGTAGTTAGTTAGTTAGTTAGTTAGTTAGTTAGTTAGTAGTAGTTAGTTAGTAGTTAGTTAGTAGTTAGTTAGTTAGTTAGTTAGTTAGTTAGTTAGTTAGTTAGTAGTTAGTTAGTTAGTTAGTTAGTTAGTAGTTAGTTAGTTAGTTAGTTAGTTAGTTAGTTAGTTAGTTAGTTAGTTAGTTAGTTAGTTAGTTAGTTAGTTAGTTAGTTAGTAGTTAGTTAGTTAGTTAGTTAGTTAGTTAGTTAGTTAGTTAGTTAGTTAGTTAGTTAGTAGTTAGTTAGTTAGTAGTTAGTTAGTTAGTTAGTTAGTTAGTTAGTTAGTTAGTTAGTTAGTTAGTTAGTTAGTTAGTTAGTTAGTTAGTTAGTTAGTTAGTTAGTTAGTTAGTTAGTTAGTTAGTTAGTTAGTTAGTTAGTAGTTAGTTAGTTAGTTAGTTAGTTAGTTAGTAGTTAGTTAGTTAGTTAGTTAGTTAGTTAGTTGTTAGTTAGTTAGTTAGTTAGTTAGTTAGTTAGTTAGTTAGTTAGTTAGTTAGTTAGTTAGTTAGTTAGTTAGTTAGTTAGTTAGTTAGTTAGTTAGTTAGTTAGTAGTTAGTTAGTTAGTTAGTTAGTTAGTTAGTTAGTTAGTTAGTTAGTTAGTTAGTTAGTTAGTTAGTTAGTTAGTTAGTTAGTTAGTTAGTTAGTTAGTTAGTTAGTTAGTTAGTTAGTTAGTTAGTTAGTAGTTAGTTAGTTAGTTAGTTAGTTAGTTAGTAGTTAGTTAGTTAGTTAGTTAGTTAGTTAGTTAGTTAGTTAGTTAGTTAGTTAGTTAGTTAGTTAGTTAGTTAGTTAGTTAGTTAGTTAGTTAGTTAGTTAGTTAGTAGTTAGTTAGTTAGTTAGTTAGTTAGTTAGTTAGTTAGTTAGTTAGTTAGTTAGTTAGTTAGTTAGTTAGTTAGTTAGTTAGTTAGTTAGTTAGTTAGTTAGTTAGTTAGTTAGTTAGTTAGTTAGTTAGTTAGTTAGTTAGTTAGTTAGTTAGTAGTTAGTAGTTAGTTAGTTAGTTAGTTAGTTAGTTAGTTAGTTAGTTAGTTAGTTAGTTAGTTAGTTAGTTAGTAGTTAGTTAGTTAGTTAGTTAGTTAGTTAGTTAGTTAGGTAGTTAGTTAGTAGTTAGTTAGTTAGTTAGTTAGTTAGTTAGTTAGTTAGTTAGTTAGTAGTTAGTTAGTTAGAAGTTAGTTCGTCGTTAAGTTTGAAATTAATTTCAAAAATATGTTTTAAAGGATAAAATACTATCATTATTGGTTAAATCCTATCAATTTCTAGAATTTTTTAAGTTCGAATATTTTAAAGAAATCTGGAAAAATAAAATAAATTAAAAAAAAAATCCTAAACAAATTTCCTAAACATATTCTTCAATTCGAACAAATTTATTTAAGCATTTTCTTTTGTCCAGCGTTTTTATTCCTCAACTTTCTGCTTATGTACATCACTATTCACAGTGTGCGTTATAAAAATAACTTAAAATCCAAAAACAATTTATTTTCGTAACACATGCACACTGAGTAGTGTGTGTAAATGTAACTTTTTCGTTTTACTTTTTCTATTTTGTCTATTTTCCGTCTAACATATTTATTTTTGTTATTGCGCGACCATCACATATCGCACGTTTATGGCAAAAAAAAACTATCATCGTCACATTTATATTGTTGTTATTATTAGTTTTTCGCTCTTTTATTCTCCTCTTGCTTTATAATCACTCAACAACTCTTTCAACATCTTCAGGTTGTTTTGCATTTTGTTTTCGTAAAAGTTTTTCTTTTTTTGTTTTGGTTTTCTTTTTTAATTTTTGCTATGAAAAGGGTCTCACTTTGAACAGTTTAAGCATAGACAGCAACACAGTAGTTGTTGTGCTTTTCATTTCTGTTGTTTAATTATAAATGCTGCGCGCGCAACATTTTAAGAAATGTTGAGAAAGCCTAGCAGTTCATGCAATAAATAATGAGAATAGTATCACATAGACAGAAAATGCAGTTTTGGAAAAACCGTTGTTGTTGCCGATTTATAGTTTCCAAGTGAGGTGTGTGTAAGAGAGTGTTTGTTTTGATTCTAGATGGAACAAACAAAGAGAACAAAAAGAGCGGTAATTTAATGAAAAAAACAAGAAAGGACAGAAAGGAATGAACGATGCCAGACTGGTTAAAAGAGAGGACGAACTAACTAACTAACTAACGAACGAACAACGAACTAACGAACAACGAACTAACGAAACGAACTAACTAACGAACGAACTAACGAACTAACTAACGAACGAACGAACGAACGAACGAACGAACTAAACGAACTAACAACGAACGAACTAACTAACGAACTAACGAACGAACGAACGAAACTAACTAAAACGAACGAACTAACGAAACGAAACTAACGAACTAACTAACTAACTAACTAACTAACTAAACTAACTAACTAACTAACAACTAACTAACTAACTAACGAACTAACTAACTAACTAACTAACAATAACTAACTAACTAACTAACTAACTACTAACTAACTAACTAACTAAATAACTAACTAACTAACTAACTAACTATCCGAGAAAGCTTTATTATTGAAAAGCTTCTTCTTTATAAAGTTTTCTTTTCCTATTTTTTGCTTTCTTGTAGAAAACTTCTTGAGAAAAGTATGTTAAAGAAAAGTTTCAAGACAATGATTTTTTATTGAGAAGTTGCTTGAGAAAGTTTTCTTATACAAACGGTTCTTGAGAATGTTTTTTATAAAAAAGTTTCGGGGAGAAAAGTTGAAAGTTTTCTTGAGAATGTTGTCTTATAGAAATGTTTCATGAGATAGTTTTATTATAGAAGAATTTCTAGAGATTTGTTGTTATAGAATAGTTTCTTTATAAAGTTTTCTTATAGAAAAATTTCTATAATAACCAATGCTTTTACTGAATAGTTTCTTGAGAAGATTTTTTTTATAGAGACGATTACTTATAGAAATACTTCTTAAAAGCTATTCTTATACAAAATTTTGTATAGAAAAGTTTCTTGATAAAGTTTTTTAGAAAAAATTCTTAAGGACGTTTTGTTATAGAAAAGTTTGCAGAGAAAAATATTTCTTATAGAAACGTTTCTTATAGTTTTCTTATAGAAAAGTTTCTTGCGAAAGTTTTCTTATAAAAAAGTTTCTTGCGAAAGTTTTCTTATAAAAAGTTTCTTGAAAAAGTTTTCTTATAGAAAAGTTTATTGAAAAAGTTATCTTATAGAAATGTTGTTTGAGAAAGTTTTCTTATAGAAAAATTATTTAAGAAAGTTTTCTTATAGAAATGTTTCTCAAGAAAAGTTTTGTTATAGAAAATTTTCTTAAGAAAGTTTTCTTAAAAATGTTTTCTTATAGAAAAGTTTCTGGATAAAGTTTTCCTATTGAAAAGTTTCTCGTAAAGTTTCTTTATAAAAAAGTAGCTTGCGAAAGTTTTCTTATAGAAAAACGTTCTTAAGAAACTTTTCGTATAGAAAATAGTCTAGATTTTCTTTTAAATTCTTTGTATCGCATAGTTCAGACACATTAAGCAAAGGCAGCAACCTTTTTTCTTAAACTTATAGGGAAACATTTGTAGACCGTGTTATCATTAACATGATAATACCGTGTTAGTTTCTAAAGTATAACAGTTTGTTTGTAAACATTGGGACTAATGCTCTCTTCCGCAACAAGTTGCTCTACAAGTGTTTGTTGCCATATGTTTCAGGTTGCTGTGTAGGCATCTGTGTTAGTGATGCTTTTTGAAGTTTGCGTTACGAAAAAATCACTCGGCACCAGCGAGTCTAACAAGACACAACGCGCGGCGGACCAATAAATAAATTAGAAAAGTAATTAAAATTAAGTTTATGGCGGCTATAATTAAAAAAAAAAAAACTATTGGCGCGTAAAAAATTATAAACAACGGAACTAGAAAATAAATAAAATTTT